TCATTTTGTGCCTTTGTATATTTTTTATTTGTTTGTGACAGTAGCTAGAATTACCCTAATTATTACATTCTCTAATAAAAAATTCTCCAGTGGCTTCCCATTACAGTCAGAATACATTTAAATTTCTTTCCAAGCCTTTTGAGGCTCTAATGGCCTGGGCCTTGCACAATTCTGTGATCTCATCTCCTCTTCATTCACTTCCCTCTATTCACACTAGCCTCTTGTTATTTCTAAAACACACCAAACTAATTCCTGTCCCAGGAATTTCATGTTTGCTTTTTACACTGCCTGGAATGCCCTAGTCTCAGATATTCATATCTGTTCAATTTTCAATTTATTAGAATTTTTCCTCACATCCCATTAAATATAGCATGCCCATACCTATCCATTTTCCTGTCTTGTCTTCATAGCTCTTATAACTACCTGTAATTATGTCAATTATTTTTTTGCTTATTATCTTACTATCTATACCTCCTATGACAACATCAGCTCCATTTTTCCTTTTACTGCTGAATCCTGGCTAATTACAGTAGTGCCTGGAATTTATAAATATTAATTTATATAATAAATATAAATAGATGGACAGAGGGATAAATATAACAAATATGAACAGAGGGATGGAGAGATAAACAGAAAATTCCTTTGCAATACACTACCTCTAAAAAGACCCCCAGTGATTCCTGCCTCCTGTTATTCATAACCTTGTATAGTCCCTTCCCCTTGAGCACCTTGCTTCTAATCAGTAGATGCAGCAACACTGAATGGATATCACTTCTGTATTTGGTTACATGAGACTGACTTCCCTCTTGCTAACAAATTCTTTCTGTTGACTTTCTTGGCTTGCATACTTTGATGAAGCAAGCTGTCATATGCCAAGTAACTGTGGGCAACCACTAGACAACAGCCAGCTGGCAACTGTGGTCTTGAGTCCAACAACCCATGAGAAACTGAATTCTGATACATGAGTTTGGAAGTGGATCCTTCCCTACTCAAGCCTTCAGATTAGACCTCAGCTCTGGGCAACACCTTGAGTATAGCCTTGTGAGATGCTGAGCAGAGAACCCAGTGAAGCCTTGCCCAGGTTCCTGACACACACAACCTGTGAGAGAAGATGTATGGTATTTAGAACTGCTGAGTGTGTGCTAATTTGTTAAACAGAAACAAATAACTAGTACATCCTGATCTGGATAGAGGAAAAAACATGAATTTTTAAACTCTTCTTTTCCAAACAGGATAATAAGAAAGTAAAGAAGTGTGCTGCTTTCTTTGGATGCCTGATGCCCTAAAATATAATCTGATATCTATGAACAATATTTCCCAATTTTACTTTCAGATTTTATAGGGAAAGGGTAAGAGTAAGTTATCTTGTTCTCACTATTCTGGCTAGTCATCCTGGATGCCATGTGGCACCATCAGAACAAGAACAGCACTATATTTTCCCTCCATCCAGACATCTAGGAACACAAACACCCAGGCTCTCCCTCTGAAAACCGTCATTTATTGGATGACTGACTCCACCTCTTCCATTCTTTCTTGAAATAATATAAAGAAAAATAGAAAGGCAAAGTTACTTGTTCTTGTTGCTTATACCCTTTCTAGATTAGTAAGGAAACTTTAAAGGAGAAAAATCATGGAAACCTTAGATTTGTTTCAAATATATTGATAAGGCTTTGTCTGGTTGTTTACTTGCTACGTAGTTTGTTCTATTAAATAACATTTGAGAGCTACAGTGAACACTGTTGATTCAAAATGTTATTTCCTTCCATGCTATACTATTACAAAAAATGAAAATAAATTTCTGTTCTAGAAACAGAGAATGAAATTAAAAAATTGAATTAAATGGGGAAGTAGTGACAAGGTTTCACTCTGAAACAAAATGTGTGAGACTAGCTGACACCAGGGAAGCTCATTCTGATTCTCATTCCTCATGTAGTATGGTTAAACACAAAATATAATAGGCATTTAGCTAGTGACTAGGGCAGAAAAATAGGGTCTGCAGTGCCTAATGCTTGCATCTGTGGGAATGCATTGAAGCCACTAACATTATCATTGAAGACTTGAAGTTAGTATCAAATTAGGGGATTTTCTTCAAGGGGATTAGGCTAGAGAAATAGATAAATTTTGGCTTAATGGCAGAATGTTGGAAAGTAAAAATAATCTCTGATAACATGAATAGGGATTATCAAAATAGCTATGCCTGGAACATAAACTTGCAAGTTCTCATTTCTTGCAATCAAGTGTCTCTTGGAGATTTTTAATCATTTTCATTTTGGAATAAAGTATAACACCTGTGTCTTCAATGAACCACCAGACAGCTACTTAGGATTAGAAAACCTGTTACATCAGCACTGTGCGGAAGCAATACCAGCGCTTCAGTGCCTGGAGAGAAAAGAGTACTACAGCAAAAAATAATGTAAATTGCCCTTGATTTTTAATTTGGTATTGGGATTTTTACTTTACCCAATTGATTGCACATGCAACCAAAGGGAATAAAAAGATCAACTAAATAGGGTTTTTTAGCTGTGCTTCAGAATTCATGTCAGGACAATAGACTTGCCAATAAATTAAGGGGAAAAAAATTAAACATTCTCTTCAAGAGAAGACAAACCATAACATCAGCCCTAATTCAATCCCACTCCAGACTTATGAAAATGAAAGGAAGGAAAAGTTAAGAAAGAAGGTCTGTTTGAATCCATTCTCTCTGCGGAATGAAAAGCCAGGATAGAGAGACTATTTCATGCAATAAAAGATTAATGTGAGAGTGCTTCTGAGTGATAACCACATTGCTTCCTCTCAGAGCTAATTATGCCTTTGAATCACATTCAGAAAGGAAGACACAAAGTAACCTTCAGCAAATACTTATTTTAATTGCTTAATAGTGAACACTTCTTTTTAAGCTAATTGGGTTATTTTTCTGGGAGGTACACAAACCCCTCTTTCTTCAGTCGAATATGGAAGATGAACAACGTTATTTCTTTGGAATAAAGATCTGGACTATTGTAATTATTGACAGCAGATGGTTTTTGTCAAAAGGTAATTTTAAATTAAATTATTTTGACCATTGAATTATTATGTGGAGTTTCTGAAGGGACAAAAAGTTTAGGAATTAATCAGCTGTGGTCTGTGTCTTCACAGAGAAAGAAAAGAGGTTTTCTGTAACCTTATTTCTACACACCCATACTAACAGCAGAAAGGCTAGGGCTGGGATTGTTTTACCATCCACCTTTAGTTGGCCATCAAAAACTTATGCACATATTAATATCTCTTATAAAAGAGACTCATATTTTCTAACTACTCAGTGGTATACCAAGGTAGAAATTATGGGAGTGGGTTATCTGGCAGGGTGGAGTATTTGATTACTGAATTGTTTAGAATTGATGTCACACAATGAAAATAAATTATAACCCAACTTTTAGTAGGTAATATTATTTTTAATTCTCCTCAGACAATGTACGCTCTGCAAGTACATCTGGAGCAGGCCACTTCACCACCAAAAGCATGATATATCATTTGGTATCTACTTGATTCGTATCATTATGTTAAATTCTCTCAGCTTAGAGAAGGAAACTCAGAAGAGAAGTAACTTTCCTTACAAGGGTACTCAACCAGTTCCTCAACTAGTTAAACAAGATACTCAACTTATTCAACTAGTAACTGGCATAAACAGAATGAACAACAATTAAAACCAAGAGCTTCCTAATGCCAAAGCCCATATATTAACCAGTAGTTACACTGCTGAAATGAGGAACCTGAGTCTCCCAACTACCACCTCCTTCTTCATTCCTTAAATGTCACATTCCCAGTATGGGAATACTCAGGCTAACAGAAATGACATTTTCACCCCAACTTTCCTTGTAATGAGAGAAGTTTTCTTTACAATATATGCATCCTGGTGGGGAAAAAAGAACCATATGGGTGGTGCAAAGAAGGACGCTGACCTGTCCTCCTCTGTCAAGGACAGAGTAGAGAGAGGAGAGTCTGTATGAATATTGTGTATGTTGTTAATCCAGCTATGCTACACGAATAATGCATCTTCCCTTAATTTGAAGATGTAAGACCCCTCATCACCTAAATGTCTCAGACTCAGTTTACTCTTCCTCAAGTCAACAAAACTTAGCAGGGACATATGCAAGATAAATGTATATATACAGAAGATTGTCTACTTCTCTTATTGTCTATTGATTTCAAAAGTAAACTCACTAAAACATTTTCATAGTACCACAAGGATGATGTTAAGTAACCCAGATTTTGAGAAATGTAATCACGAAGACTGTATATTTGCTTTGTCAGGCTATAGGCTTACAGACTATTTCCAAGCTGGTGGTTTTCCTGAAAGGGAATGGATATTCTCATAGCAAATATTCTGGGAAGAATATAAGGAACAAAGTCTAAGACAGAGGTAAAGAGAAACCTACTTCTTTCTCAGAGCATGGAATTAATTTAGTTTGGACTCCTGAATGTGGAAGTACCAGGTAATGGTTAGCAAGCTGCCCCAGTCACATGGAGCCATGCAGAAATAAGATAGGAAATTAGCTCTCTGAGGTCCCTAGGACAGGTTGGGCCTACGTCTGTGCAATAGTTTAAGGATTACTACGTTTGAGTTTCCTTAAAATTTACAGGCTGATCTTTGCTACAGTCTGGAAAATTAATGTGCCAAGTCCATCCTTAAAGCTACAGAGGGAAGCAGGGCCCCCTTTACTGAGACCAAAATTACAGGAGCAGAAAACATGTGTAGAGGGCAGCTTTGCCCAATGGAACCATAATTTTACAAGGATGGATGCAATAGAAGAGGCAGCATGAATTCTGGACTGGAATAAGATGAGACTCTCCTCAAGAACAAAGTAACCTGGATACTTTCAGAAATATCTGGGAGATGTAAGGAAATGCTAATTGACAGCTGTAAAGGGATTCCCACCACTGTAGTTATAATATGTCAATGGACAAAGGATTCAATTTCAAAATTTCTGTCACAAAAAGACCTTATCCTACCTGTTGGTCCTATTTGGAGGAATTATTAAGTACCTCTATTCTCTTCAGTCTCCTGACCTAGGGAATAAAAAACAAAATAACAAAGAACCTTTCCTATCTACAGAGTAAAGATAATGTAATACTACACAGTAAAAGACTACAGACAATAAGATAAAATGGTTCTAAATTCAAATCCTAGCTCTGACTAAGACATTAATGATCATTAAAATTGATAAACCTCCAGTTAGACCAGGGGTGGGCAAACTTTTTGACTCGAGGGCCACAATGGGTTCTTAAACTGGACCGGAGGGCTGGAACAAAAGCATGGATGGAGTGTTTGTGTGAACTAATATAAATTCAAAGTAAACATCATTACATAAAAGGGTACGGTCTTTTTTTTTTTTTTTTTAGTTTTATTCATTTCAATGGGCCGGATCCGGCCTGCGGGCCGTAGTTTGCCCACGGCTGAGTTAGACTATTAAAAAAAAAGAAACTATTTACCAATATTAGGGTCTAAGAGGGGTCATCCTATGCATGGGTGGGCAAAAGTAGTTTTGAAGTTGTGAGTACATGAAAGTCAGAGTTTCTTCTTGTATTATTATTTATTAATTAAATTTCTTTGTATTACAGCTGTGAACCTATTTTTGCCCACCACTGTATATCTTGCAGACATTTAAAGGATAAGAGAATATTAAAAATAGGCCAATAAAGTTGACAATATTGATAAAAATGGTCACATCCTTGAAAGATACAAGTTACCAAAACCAACTCAAGAAAAAATAAATTCCACTCATAGACATTTATCAATGTGTAAAATAAAATTGAACTACTAGACATTCACGAGAAATGAATTATTTTTGTAGACTTTAGTATTTTCATTCATAGTAGTCTAGAAACAATCCAAATGTCCATTGATAGAGGAATGGATAAATAAATTGTGATATATCCATAAAATGGATAACTTCTCAGCAATAAAAAGAAGCAAACTACTGATACACACAAAGTATGTATGAATCTCAAAAATATTATGCTAAGTGAAATCAGACATACAAAAAGCATATATTGCTATAATTGTACTTATATGAAACTATAGAAGAAACTTATCTATACAGACAAAAATAAGATCAGTAGTTGTCTGGGACTAAGGGTTGGGGAGAATTGAAAAAGGTGATGGAAATATTCTATATCTCGATTATGTTGGTGGTATTATGAGTGTATATATTTGTTAACAGTTGTCAAGCTATGCACTTTAAATAGGTGTGTTTTATTGTGTATATATTATTCCTTTAAAAGTTGACTTCAGAAAAAAGATAAAAGAAAATCTGGTAAGGATCTGCAGAGAAAAATTTCTAGTCCTAAAAGAAGAAGAGAATGGATGTTGAGGTCTTTGCTACAGGCATTCTGAGTTTTTGCTTTTTACAGGACATTCAAACTGAGAAATCCTAGATACATGGTTAGGTCTTAAAATAAAATATGTATTAGAGATACAGATTTGAGGTCTTCTGCATACAGAGAATACTTGAAATTTAGGACTAGATGGTAGCTAAGAATAAAATGTAGACATTGAAGGAATATGACCCAGGACAGAATCAAGAAGCTGACGAATGTATAAAAAAAAGGGCAGGGGGAAAAATGAAGAAGATTCAACATAAGGAAGATGTTAGTTCTCTCCAATTTATCTATATATTTAATGGATTACCAATCAAAAGTTTAGGATATTTTATAGATATAAACAAACTGAATCTAAAATTTATATGAAAGAATAAAGAAACTAGGATAGCTAAAACAAATGTGAAAAAGAAAACAGTTGGACTCAAAGACAATGTGGTATTGATGAAGGGATAGCACACAAATCAATGGAACAGAAGAGAAAGTCCAGAAGTATTTTCACAAAAATATGGCAATTTGATTTTGGACAAAGATACAAAAAAATTCAATAAATAAATTATAGTTTTTCAACAAGTGGTATTGGAGCTATTGCAAATCAATGTGCAGGAAAAATATATAAACTTCTCATATAAAAACTGATTCAAAATAAATCACAGATCTAAATTTAAACATAAAATTATAGAACTTTTAGAAGAAAACCTGGCAAGCAAATTTATGACATAGAGTTTGGTGAAGAGCCCATAGACATTATACTAAGAACAAGCCCATAAAAAATTAATAGTTAGACTTCATCAAAATTAAAAACTTTACTCCATGATAAGCACTGTTAAGAGAATGAAAAGCAAATCACAGATTGAGAGAAGCATATCAAATCACATATAAGACAAAGGACTTAAGTCTAAAATATATAAAGAGTTCTCTCTTTGTCCTGGGGTAGAATGAATAAAGAAGGAGAAAGAACAAGAATAGCACTAATTGGGGTCCCTCCTCATGGAAGACAACATAAGGAGTTGAGAAGAAATGTTTGCTACCAACACTCACCAGTTTGTTTGTTTTTGGGTCTTAACCATTGAGATTAATCATTAAGCCTGTGATTCACCAGGGTTGAGACTTTTCCTTTCAGGGGAGAAGAGCAAGCCATCAGGGCTGAGCCCTGCTCCCCCTTTCACAAGACCACTCTTCTAAGACCATGGTGTATTATTCTGGGACAAGTTGTAGATAGTTTATATTTGAACCCACTATATTCTGAAATTGATCAGAGAAGAGCAGTAATTAAATCAATTCCACTCTGTACTCAAGGCTGAAAATAAAACTCAGTCTCTTTATATTGGTTCTCAAGAACATCCAGCAACATAACCCAAAATAGCAAATCATAAATCCTGCTATGAGATTAAATGACAACATAAAGATACCCCAGTAATAAAATGCCAAAATAGAGATGTACCAAAATTGAATATAAATCCCTTCCTATTATCAAATTCCCAGAGAGAAAAGTTCAGAGATTAAATTTCCTTGCAAGTTTAAGTCCAAAAACACTCAAGTCCAAAGTGATTTAACTTCAAAATCAAATTTATTTGCTCTTGAAAGCTAAAAGCCCAAAGTCCAAAGAGCCTCCTTCTGGTTTTCATTCTGCTCAGTCTCAATCAGCCTCGTTCTCAATGCCAGGGTGCAACTGCATATCGCCGTGCATATTCCAGGAAAGATCATGTGCTCAAAAACAGCATATAGTTTGCCAGATCATAAAGAGACACAAGGCTGTACAAATGAAGAAGGGTCTGTAGAGAATGATGGTGGTCAACTGTGAAATAAATTCAACTGAGAAAAATCTCATATCAAGACTGAATTTTTGAGAGAACCAAGGTGGCGGCATAGGTAAATGCCTGTACTCGCCGCCTCCCACAACTACATCAAAATACTACTAAAATACAGAACAACCATCATGCAGAACCGCTAGGAAGCTGGCTGAATGGAAGTACTATAACTAGAGAACTAAGAAGAAAGCACACCGAGACTGGTAGGAGGTGTCGAAATGCAGAACGGGCTGGTCCAGCACCCGGGTGTGCCGCTTTTTTAATCAGGAGGGAGGCTGTCTCTGTAGAGGCCGTCCGGAGGAGCAATGGGTCCCAGTCCCGCACCAGACACCCAGCCAGGGTCTGAGAGCTGGAAAAAGAAGTCCCTATGGACAGTAAGAACTACGGGCTGTAAAAACCAGTGCAGATTGGGGCTGAGTGACACACAGGCTGCTAGAGACCCAGCTGCTCCTCTTAAAAGGCCGGCACCAGGAAATGAACTTACAAGCTCCCACTTCTGAGCTCCAGTGCCGGGCGAGGCTCTGGGGGGACCCAGACATATACGAAGAGAAACTGGACTATGTGGCATCAAGGCAGGAATTTGGGGGTGGCTTTCTTCCAGACAGAAGTGCTAGCAGCGATCATTGTTTCCATGCTGGGACCTTCCCGGTGCAGGGCTGACTGGCAGCCATTTCTGTTTGCTCTGCCCTGGTGATTTCCTGAGACCCCACACCACCCAATTTACAACCCCACCCAAGCTGTGCACAGCGGCTTTTGTATATAATGGCCTGTCCTTGTTTAGGCTAAAAACCTGTCAAACAAACTGCAGCTGGGTCAGGGAGCTCCAAACCTATCAATAAAAGGCCCAAGAGCCCTGACCGGTTTGGCTCAGTGGATAGAGCGTCGGCCTGCAGACTGAAAGGTCCCAGGTTTGATTCCAGTCAAAGGCATGTACCTTGGTTGCAGGCACATCCCTAGTGGGAGGTGTGCAGGAGGCAGCTGATCGATGTTTCTCTCTCATCAATGTTTCTAACTCTCTATCCCTCTCCCTTCCTCTCTGTAAAAAATCAATAAAATATATTAATAAAAAGGCCCAAGACCCAGCACCAGCACCAGCCTGCCTTGCTTCACAGCTGGGCCTCTTCTGGGCACTTCCAAACCTGGTACAAAGGAGAGGAATCTGCAGATCTCTCTGTAGCAAATGCTGGGTGGCCCCAAGCAGTGGCTGACTTTGCACCTCCCTGGAGACCCAAGAGCCAGTGTACCCAGTGGTCAGTGTGAGATCATACCAGATTAGAACTCTTCACATCCATAAGCAACACACTCAAGGGGCAAACTCGGTAAGCACCAAAGCCCTACTGAAGCAAGTCCTACCCCATAAGGGTGTCTCCAACATAGCAGCTCTCCCACTGTAGTCACAGCTGGTCCCTACAGATAAATGGCCTGGAGGTCAATTCCTCCCAGTGACACCAACAACAATCAAGGCTCAACTACAACAAGACTGACTGTACACACAGCCCACAAAAGGGTGCACCTAAAGTGTTCACTTCAGGTGACTGGGGAGGCTGAGCCACTGGGCCCTATAGGACACCAACTACACAAGGCCACTCTGTCAACTCAAAGAGATTTAGCAGCTCTACCCAATACATAGAAACAAACACAGGGAAGCAACCAAAATGCAGAGACAAAGAAACATGTCACAAATGAAAGAAATGGAAGAAAGCAAACTACTGGATATAGAGTTCAAAACCACAGTTCTGAGTTTACTCAAGAATATTCTAGAAACCTCCAAAGGACTTAGTGAGACTTTCAAGTATCTTAGTGAAAATGCCAAGGAAAAAATGGAAAAGGACCAGTCAGAAATTAAGCATACACTCACTGAAATAAAGAATAATATAC